ACCGGATCGGCTCGGAGTGCGAATCGAATCGGATCGGCTGCGGCAGCATGCAAAAGAACGCCACGCAAACATCGGGGCGCGTCGGATCGTCAGAGCATCAGAAACGAATCGGAGAATCGGGTCGGCTGGGATCGACATCGAATTGGCCGGGGTCGATGTGAACGAGATGCGACATGCCCTCGCCCCAGCCAGTCCTGCGAGTCCATGTCCTCGAGCGTGTCCCAGATGGACTTCGTGACGGGAGACAGCTTCGGCCCGTACTGCACCTCGGAAGCGACAGGGTGCAGGCCGCCGCAGGAGAAGAGGCAGGATTCGGAGGCACAGGAGGGAGAGAGGATGGAGGAGGGAGGAGGGAGGAGGAGGGGGACGGGAGGATGGACGAGGAGGAGGTAGAACACCCGTCGGAGCACGAGCTCGCTTTTTCAAAGCCGAGAGCAGGAGGTGGACGGAGAGGGGAAGCAAGAAGAGAGAGGGGGAGGAAAAGGATAAGCAGGATGATCCTACCTCCTCCTTCTCTTCCTCCTCCTCCTCCTCCTCCTCCTCCTCCTCCTCCTCCTCCTCCTCTTCCTCCCCTCCTCCTCCTCCTCCTCCATTCCTTTCCTCCCCATTGTTAACAACTCCCCCCTGCCGCACCCCGAGGCCAGTCGGAAAGGCGGGCCAGCGGAGAAACTGACAACAGCTTCGCAGAGGGAGGGCGGGTCGCTTCCAAGATGTGGCTCTCGCCTCAGCTCCGCGCACATGTCTTTAAACATGCAGGAGCTTCACGGATTGAGGACGGGCCGTTTGCAGAATGTGGCTCTCGCCTTGGCGCCGCGCACACTCGCTTAAAAACCCACCAGCCCTCTAGGCGCAGGTGGTTTGGGATGTTTTTTTTTCTGCCAGTTTCCTCTCTTCCCCTTCGGGGAGGGGTCTATCACAGTTCCCTATTAGTAATAATAAGCACGCCCTCTCCACAGGCAGCCAACCAGGACAAATGAGGGCCCCCCACCATCCCTGTCAAAAAAAATGTAAAGCCCATTTGGGGCAAAATCATGGGTAATGATCGGGGGGAGCGAATACTTTGCATTGTTTCTTGAAAGAGACGGGGGAGGGGGCGCATACTGCCTGCTGCGCGCAGGACCAGCACCCCCTTTCAAAAAATAGTGCAAATTGCATTTCGAGACAAAGTCTGCATCATGCGCGGGCAGCCCGCGATCACTATGTATTGGTGTTTGACTGGGACGGCGGGGGTGCTAACAACTTGCCTGCTATGTGCAGGGCAACCAGACGCTATGATGGCCACCCCGCCGCGATTGCGCACTGGTTTTCGACAAGGGTGGTGGGGGCCGACACGTTTCCCGATGTGTACTGACACGTGCGCAGGCGCATCTGGCGCACTCTGCGCGTGCCCCGAACGTTGCGCACCTGGCGCGGCTGGAGCATGCGGCACACATGGCGCACGTGGATCACGTGGCGCATCTGGCGCACCACGCGTACCCGGCACGTTCGGGCCACAGGGGTGCTTGGCGCACCTGGCGCGCGTGAGGCGCCTTGCACGCCTGGCACACATCGCCCCAACGGTGCGCACATGGGGTCTTTTGGGGGTTCCCATTAGCTGTCCATCCAAAGACTACCGCTGAGCAAGCTGCGTTTCGGGTGCTACTTATGTGTTGGAGAGCGCGTGGGAATGAGCGAGACGGCCTGCGGGCGGGGAGGGTGTCATGACCCCTCCCCCGACCCCCTCCTCCTGGACCTGGACGGAGCGCCCAGCGACCCATTGGAGCGTTCAAGATGGCCCAGGATGGCTTCAAAAGGGCCTCAGAGAGCCCAAGATGGCCTCCAAGAAGGGCCACGGTATCTCAAGATAGCTCAAGATAGCCTCCTACGTGATCCAAGAGGCTCCCAGAGCGCCCCAAGACGGCTCCTGGTGGCCTCTCAGCACCCCCAAGAGAGCACCCAAGAGGCCAAAATCATTCCAAAACATAAGGGAATCAGTGTTGTTTGATTTCTCGCCTTTTCGCTTCTGATGGCTTTCCAAGGCGTCAAGACAGATCCAAGATGGCCCAAGAGGGCCCCAAGACGGCCCCAAGAGCGACCAAGAACGCCCCAAAACGGCTCCAAGAGGCGACTTTGGGGGCTCCAGAGGGGCAACGCTAATTAAAGCTCCCACCTTCTTTGACCAACCTCCTCCAAGATGGCATCAAAAGGGCCTCTAGGGCTTTCAAGAGAGCCCCAAGAGAGCCCCCAGGAGACCCCCAAGAGACCTCCCAGGAAGCCCCCAAGAGACACCCCAAGGGACTCCGAGAGAAATCCAAGAGGCATCTGGCCTTCCGCTCGCCCTCCTGCTGCTCCTCCTCCTCCTCCTCCTTCTCCTCCTCCTCCTCCTCCTCCTCCTTCTCCTTCTCCCCCTCCTCCTCCTCCTCCCTCATCCTCTTCCTCATTCTCATCCTCATCCTCATCATCCTCATCCTCCTCTTCTCCCTCCTCCTCCTCCTCCTCCTCCTCTCCTCCTCCTCCTCTTCTGTATCATCTGCCGATTCCCTCTCTCCCTCCTCCTCCTCCTCCTCCTCCTCTCCTCCTCCTCCTCCTCCTCCTCCTCCTCATCATCATCATCATCATCATCATCATCATCATCATCATCATCATCATCATCATCATCATCCCCCCCTCCTCCTCCTCCTCCTCGTCTTCCTCCTCATCCTCTTCCTCCTCCTCCTCCTCCTCCTCATCCTCATCATCATCCTCATCCTCATCCTCATCCTCATCATCAGCATCAGCATCAGCATCAGCTTCAGCATCATCATCCTCATCAGCATCATCAATCATCATCATCATCATCATCATCATCATCATCATCATCATCATCATCATCATCATCATCATCATCATCATCATCATCATCATCGTCATCCTCATCAGCATCATCATCATCTTCATCATCATCATCATCATCATCATCATCATCATCATCATCATCATCATCGTCATCATCATCACCATCACCATCATCATCATCACCATCATCATCATCAGCAGCAGCAGCATTAGCAGCATCATCATCCTCGTCATCCTCATCATCACCAGCAGCATCATCAGCATCATCATCATCAGCATCATCATCATCTGCAACATCACCATCATCAACATCAGTATAATCATCATCGTCATCATCAACAGCATCATCATCAGCATCAGCAGCATCATCATCAGCAGCAGCAGCATCGTCGTCGTCATCATCGTCAGCAACATCATAATCATCATCAGCATCACCACCATCATCATCAGCAGCATCATCAGCAGCATCATCGTTAGCATCAGAATCAGCATCAGCAGCATCATCAGCATCATAATCAGCATCAGCAGCAGCAGCAAGTGCAAAATCGTTATCATCATCAGCATCAGCATCACATTCATCATCATCAGCATCAGCATCATCATTAGTAGCAGCATCATCATAATCATCAAGAGCATCATCATCAGCATCAGCATCATCAGCAGCAGCGTCAACCACATCATCATCATCATCATGATCATCATCATAATCATCACCAGCATCATCAGCATCACCATCATCGTCATCATCAATATCCGCAGCAGCATCATCAGCATCGTCATCATCAGCAGCATCCTCATCCTCATCCTCATCCTCATCCTCATCCTCATCCTCATCCTCATCAGCTTCCTCCACTTTGACAGATAACAGCTGCCCCGCCCCTTTCTCCTGAACACTTCCCTGATCGGCTCAACTCTTCTGGGCATCGTTTCGGGATGGGCTGGTGAGGATACTTTTTAGTCAGCGGCCTCGCCGAAAACCAACTGGGAGCCGACAACCAAAAGATCGCCAAACGCTAATCGGACACCGAAAACCAGAGCGGCCCCGGAAACGAATGGAGCGCCGAAAGACAAAACGGCACTAAAGACCACAACGGCACCGAAAAACAGAAGGAGCGCCGAACACCAATGGGGCGCCGAAAACTACACGGGGGCGCCGAATACCGAATGGGCGCCGAAAACCAAGGGGGCGCAGCAAACCAAGAGGATGACGAAAACCAACAAAGCGCCGAACGCAAAAAGGCGCGCCGAAAACCATCGACGCGCCGAAAATCAAAAGGGCACCGAAAGCTAAAAAGACACCGGAAACCAAAGGGGCATTGAAAACCGAGAGGGCGCCGAAAACCAAATGGGCGCCGAACGCCCGCGGGGCGCCGACGACAGAGAGAAACGCCGAAAATCCAAGGCGCGTCGAAATTCAGCGACGCGCCGAAGACGAAAAAGGCGCCGAGAAACTCACGATGCGCCGACAACCCACAGGGGCGCACTGACAACCAAAACGGCGGGCGAGCGCGCCAGCGGCGAGTCAGGTCAAAGCGGGCTACGCAGAGACAACTTAGGCAGAGGAAACAACCGGCTGGTGGGGATACTTTTTCGGTCGCGTCCGCAAGCGAAGGCGCAGGCGGAGTCAGAAGCGTTCCGGGACACGGCAACGGCCGAATTAGCTACTGGGAGCGCCGAAGGCCGGGTGGCCCACTCACCAAGCAGCTGCGGGGCTGCGCGGGAAAGCTGACAGGCTGAGGGCACCCGGGGAAGCTCGGGCAACGTGCAGCCTAGCAAAATGCCAGGAAATTCGGTGTATGCCGTGAGGCATAACCCACTCAGACAGTGCGAGGGCGTGTGCGCAGATGCCTACGCGTTCCTCATGCCTGGTAGGCGCTCAGGCGAGGTGAACGATGAACGAGTCGCCAGCGGGGCGCCAGGCCCAGGGCCGTCCCAGCGGCGTATGCAAGCTGATGGGGCTAAGCTGCCGAGGTGACGTCGCAAACCTGCCTGATGGATGGGATGGGTCCAGGGGAGCCGCCGCGACTGACGGAAGGCTGAACCACTCCGAAGCGGCTGGTGGGGATACTTTTTTTGGTTCGCGGCTCCAAGGCGAGGGACAAGGAGCGGCACAACATCCGGGGCGCGGTACGATGTAAATTGGCCAATTGGTGGGGATACTTTCTTTTTTTTTTTTACAGCCGCAG